CCTCTCTTGATACTACTCGTGATATTTCAAAATTGTCTCAAAATTCACTCGCCTAACGGCTCGTGAAATTACGTATAACAATTTTTAAATGTCACTCGTATTATTTATGCCAAATATCACTACAAATCATGCTATTACCTATACTAATTTACAATAGTGTTAACCAAAGTTTCTTTACAAGCTTTCTTGTTTGTCCTTCTTATTTTTCTATGCGCTTGGCTAAGCTAAATTACTGTTGACTAACTCGATGCTGTCTGATTGCAAACTTTTGCGGCGTCTGCGGCACAACATGCTCTTCATCTTTTCTCTGAATCACTGGTTGATTAGCGCGTATACGAATGGATTAACAGTGGAGTTGAACATGGTTATCGCGTGAACAATAAGAAATATGACAACACCGTGCTTAACGCTGTTTGTTTGATCGACGACGTGGAGTATTACATCTGGGAGCCAAGTGATACCAAATATGGCACTGACTGTTACTGTTGGAGAAATACTGAATGATCATGTAATGTGATTCGTTGATTAAGATCATATGACACTCTCTAGGGGATTACACGTACTCTTCGATTGCATAATCTTATGATTTATTCTCTCGCCTTGTAGCTTATGTTATTCAGTTCTAGTTGTAACCTTCTTTCCGTTGGGATTAAAGATGGATTCTTAATAGTTACAATCATTAAGGTCACTCGCTTTTGTACCCTCAGCACACCCTGCGTAAGAAAGCAGAAACCACATTTACAGACTACTTTCGCGCCAACGCAAAAAGCTGTTCGATATGGTATGAACACCTATTCGATATGAGACTCTCCACTTTAGAGATCGGCGCGGCGCAGCTTAGCTCCATTACAGAAATCGCGTCCAAGTCACCGTTCTTAGGTGTTAACTTAGCCTAAAAATCACCGTTGCAGAAAAATATACTAAAAAAACTTCTAAAGAAGCAAGAGACACCTTGCGGCAGTGCCGGCCAGCTTTGCTTTAGGTAAGTGCCTGGGCTGTAACCTATCGCTCTGGGTATTCTACCTGGTGCCTTGCATACTCGCCTCTGTTACCGTCGAGTGATATTAAAAGTTCAATGGTGTCAAGAATCGTATCGTCGATCTATCATCCATTCCCTGACTGGGATTGGTTTTACAGTTCAATAATAAAACAAGCATTTTCAAGTATCACCTTTAACTAATTAAAAAAAGTCATAGCATGATTCATATTAAAGAAACCGTGAAACGGTATCAGACAATTAATAGAAATTATTATTCATTCAAAATATTTCTCAGTTTCTTATTAGCTCAAATCCTACGGCTAATTCTTACAGCTAGCGTTGACCAAATTTGTAACACGTTTGCGCTATATGGAAAATGAAATCAACCGAGAAGCGCTGACGACAAAGTTGCGATGTTTTGGTGAGGCAGTAGAAAATGGCAGAACATTTCACACGAAAAAGAAATGGCCGAACTACAGTCTAAAACGTAGCTGGAAAAGTAAGAATCCAATTCGACGGACAGCATCTGCTATTTGCAAAATATCTAAAAAACTAAACCTTCTTTTGTCTCCTGAACTTGCCGAAAAACAGACACATGAAGAGAGGAACTAAAACTCCATCGAGGTAAGCGTGTTCTAGCTTGTCGTTGTTGTTGTTCTTTTTGTTTTAACTAGGAATTATTTTGAATGAATAATATAACAATTGTTGGATTCAGCTTTCGTATGATCTGAAGAATAATGATAGCGATCGAGGAGGGTGTTATCCACCGAGGCCGATTACCCTCGATCGACAGAGCTCAATAAGGTTTTATTAGGGTAATTTTTTTTTCTAGTTTTATCTGTCGTGTCGAAAATCTTTTATTACACTTCTGTTGCTGAGCTAGCTGGAAAACAACAGTAATTTTCGAAAATCGATCTGTTGTTTTCTTAACAAGGTCCGGAATCCATAGGCTTTCAATTTGTGCGTTTTTCCATCGATTGGAACAATGGAAAAAACGATTTTTCATCGTTTTCATCAAACCTTTTTCTTGTTAATTAATGGACATTTTTTCTTGTTAATTAATATACATTTTTCCTTGCCTACTTTTAATCATAAACTAAGCTGTTACTTATTCGCGCGCTTTCCTTTTCAAGTGGGCCCTAGTTTCTAGTTTTATCACCACATTTCTTTTTTTGCATAATTTTTATCTTACAAATGTTGACGTCTGCTTTTAGCTTAATATTTACTTTTTTTACATAGTACATTATTTTAGTTCCTCAAAACTCCATCATTAGTATTGTCACAGAAAATCCCTCTTTAGGGAGTGGCAACAGAGTTTGCAGTTTTTTTAAAAAAGACGAGAATGTTTCAAACTTTATCCCCACTGAGATTAAACTGAAGAATGTTGTACGTAACTGTTAGTCGATTAATTGCAATCAATTTACAGACTGATCCCTTGTTTTCTTCTTTTTTATTGCATAGCTCATCATCTGCTGAGGAGGTCTTAGGCTGCTAACAAACTTGTTGCTGTTCCTGGTGAAATACTCAGCTGACACCTGATCCATGGGATATTTGCACATTCTTATTTTCCCATGCAATGTTTTAATCACCATGTGATGTTTCAAGTGACATTTTGACACTGGAGATAGTTTTATAATTCCGGTTATTTGTCTAACTTCATGTAGAACAACAGTTCTCTGGAACAGCCTGCCCTGTGATATGAGGAAGGCTAAATCTTTCAGTCAATTTAAACGATTGAATTTCTGATTTCAAAGTACTGTGTACACGGCATTCATGAAAAACAGGTCTTAGTTATGTTAGTTGTAGATAGTTATGCATATTGTTTAGAGTAGTTAGGTTTAAATAATAAATTTTCATACTCCTGATGAATTTTACAGTGTGTAAATAAAGAATTCCATTCTATTCTATTCAATGGGGAATACCCCTTTAGGGGTATTTGGTGGAGTTGAATTGCTCACATACAGGCCCCCCTTTGCCCCATAGACTCTTGTTACTCCTTAAACCGGGAAATTGGACATCTAGAGAGGTATTTTCACCTCTCCGGTACCAAAGGGGAATTATCACCTCCACTCACATATTATGAGTACTTCATCCCTTACCCCCTTTCCCCACATTCATTCTGGTCTCGTAATTTGCTTTTAACTAAAGGGGTATGGGTTGGAAGCATTAACGCTGTCGTGAACGCTACGGATTCCTTTCAAGGCCCAAAGGAATGTTTCTATCGAACTAAAGAGCAAAGCATTACTTCCAAAGTAAAATTTAAGGTTAAGCATTTACAGTAGGGTGATCCAGTTTGATCATATGATATTCCCTTGTCACGTAAATTGCCCCCAGAGGAAATTCTGTTGCCACTACGTTGCCGTGAGGTTCTATCATTGCCATCGAACGCGGTGTACGGCAAGGGATTTCTTTCATTTTTTTCCCTCAATCGTTGGTTTATCAGAGCATATGCAAACGGTTGACCGCTCCAGATGGTGATGATAAAGTTTAAAACCAAGGAATAGCAATGTCAAGCAATATCGAGGTTACCTTAACGAAGGAGACTCTGCTCGCAGGGTATATCGAGGTAAATTAACTCTAAAATTATTCTACTCTAAAGAAACTTACGTATTGTCCATACACATTTACTATATATGTACTGAGATTTACTATAACTTAATTTGACATTATCATCTGGTAAAAAACTACTGGCAATTTTTGTCACAGGTGAAAATTATCGTATGACCAATCACTGGCCGCAGACGAAAACCTGCACTAGGGAGAAAAATCGTATTGGTTTTCCCACCTTTCACTGTCCACTAAGAAAAACAGTAAAGTCATGTCGTCTTGTTTATTATTATTTTTTGTGGTTTTGTTCCAGTTCGCAGAGTGTATCCCGTTACGCTTTTAGACCACCAACCGTTAACCTTTTTTTAAATGAACGTTTGATTGCAGAATATGAAAATGTTTCCTCTTTTTTGTTATAATGTTCCAGTTTTAACTGTTTTGCACAAGTAAACAGACGTGCAGTCATTGCGAATGGGTTCAGCTTTATTTTCTTATAGTTACTGGTGTCAAGTTACCTCGGCTCTCTATAAGCTGGACACCTCTCTAAGCTCTCTAAGACGAACAGTCTGGGCCGTTCATGAAGATGTCCGTCTCAGAGTACCCTGTGAGCAGTGGTTTCTCCAGGCTGGACGCTGCGCTACGAAGGTAGAGAAACCAATGCGTGCAACCGTCAGCTTTTCCATCGAGCATGCGCATTCACGTGATGCCTACGTCAAAACGTCAAAAGCCATCACTTCATCTTGTTTCGGAGGAAACATTAGGGACTTTAAGATCCAACGACGCGACGGCAACGAGAACGTAAAAAGAAAACAGGTTTAATAAGCAAAACAACAACTTTGTCGTTGCGACTGTCTTGGTGTAAAATTAGCCAGTTTAGAGGCAAACAATAGTTTTAATGCAGTGAATATCTAGACTGAAGTTTGACTTCAGACAAAACGTTCGAAAATGTAGTAAATTTTTAAGTGTTTTTTTGACTATCCGCTTGTTAGATATGGAGAACCCACCCAACCCTACCTAGGCATTTTTATAAAGTCCTCCAGTGCAGTACCGACCTGTGAGTTTTTGCCTGTAGTAAAACAAACGGACGGACAAAAAGATGGCACCACCGTCTTTATTAGATTAATTCTAGTTTATTCTGACATCTTATTTTAGGCCTGTCAAAAACTAGTTGTTATAAAATCACAAGACTTGTAGATATTTTATGGGAATTGTTGTCTTGTTGTAGTCTAGCATTATTCTAGGTTTACACTACATTTGTCGAAATTATGAAGCTTTGTCTCAAGGGATTCTGGGAAATTCTTTATTTTAACTATAATTTATTTTTGTTTTTAATTACCGTGTCTAAGAATTTTAAGAATTACATACATCGAGTCTTAAGCCTGATGTTAATAATAATAAGAGCTATACAATTTTTCCTACACGGTATGTTACCATCATTAATTTACATTGTTATTGACTGCAGTTTCTTTAGAAGCTATCCAGTTTGTACCTTTTCTGTTTTCTGTGGCCGTGGCTGAGTGATGTTACTGTTCATTAACTCGATGCTGTGTGATTGCAAATTTGTGGAGCTGCTGAGTTCCGATAAAATTGAACTATAGCACAGCAATCGTTTCATCTTTTCTCTAAATCGCTGGTTGATTAACGCGTATGCAAATGGATTGACAGCGGAGTTAAACATGATGATGGTGTGAACAATAGCAAATATGGTGGTACTGAACTTGAGGCTGGTTGTTTGTTCGAGGACGTGTAGAATTACATCTGGGAGCCAAGTGATACCAAATATGGCACTGACAGTTACAATCATTAAGGTCACTCGCTTTCGCACCTTTAACACTCCCTGCATGAAAAAGCACAAAACCACATTGCAGGTTATTTTAAAGTTTGCTGGAGCAAAAAACATTTTGTCGTCGGTCAAACGGCCATTCCCTGACTGGGATTGGTTTAACAGTTCAGTAAAAAAACTACTTAAGTTATGTTGGCTCGACTAGACTTTCAGGGGCAATACGTCCAAGTTTAAGTATTAACTACGTCGCCATTAAAAAGATTTGGAAAAGTGATCACCACAGCTGTATTAGGTAAAGATGAAAGTTTGCTGTTAACAGTGTTACGTTGACTTCACAGTTGCTACAGTAATGTAATGACGTTACCCTTATTTTGCTTGCAGGCATATTTAACGACACTGGGAGGGATCTGAGCATGCATGCATTGAAGTAGCTTCCCACGCCACCTTCGCTAAGATTATGCAGTGCTCGGAGTATTCTAAAATCTGACTAAATCTTACTTTTGCCTCGCTGAGTCTATCATTTATTAGAGGTCATAAAGCTTTCCCAGTGTTTCATGCAGATCCTCGTTATAACGAACAAATTTTGTCAGTCCCTTGGCCGTCCGTTAAATCGAGGTTCCATTGTAAATAACAATTTTTTTTCTTTGTCTCATTAAGCTGTGATGGTCGTTTCCTATATCTTTGATAACGGCGACGTGCTCAAACTTGGGAGGTATTTTCCCTGAAAAATGCAGGCGAGCCACCGTGAGTGTTATCAGTAACCAAGTAAATAAAGTGTAGTTGTTAAGAAAAAAATAAAATCAGAAGGAAGACCGAAAATTGAGTACAATTGAGAAAAATCTCGTCAGAATTTAAAAAAAGCTTTAAAGTTATGTTCACACAGTACCGGACGAAAGTTCGACCGGCTGAAAAAATTTGATCGGACATTTCGTTCACATGGAACCGTTCAATATTTCCCCTCACGAACCAAGTTGAATTTTACCTTTTTGAGCGTTTTAACCATCTGTCCTTGCGCAGAGTACAACTTAAGCCAATCCAAAATGGCGTCTTCCAACTAAGCTACCAAGCATTCATGCAACCACGCCTTTAGGCGGTCAATGTGTTCACACCACGCTGATCAATTTTTCGACCGTACCGGCTCAAAATTTGAACTCGATTTTGACGATCAACTTATGGAACGGTTGGGAGTCTAAATCTCTTTACGGAGGCTCCCTGTGAACTAAACCCCTAAACGCACGAATTTTCAACCGGTCGAGAATTTGTACAGTACTAGGTGAACGTCCACAATATAACTTTTTAACATGTTAAATGAAATACCCTCTGTTGATGTGTGAGTTCATCGTTGTTGCACCTGGCCCACAAAGTGAACACGACTCTGGAATATAACCCAATCATCACCACAATGGAAATGACAACCATCGTAAACCATAAGAATACGTAACCATGTTGTATCCATGTCTTGTAGTGAAGCCGCATCTTGGGGCAGAATTTTGGATCAAATCTCTTGTCTAATGCCATGTTTGTTGCTGGCGGGATTTCCAAAATCAATGAAAAGAACCAAAAACTAGGAATAATAATCTAGTAATGAAAAATGAAAACAACATTAACCTAAATCGAACTTCTTTGGGCAGGTTTGAGCATGTTGTTTTGTCATTTCTGAGTTTTGTTGAGCTAGGACAACTGGTAGAATAAAAATGTATTTCTCTCACAATGGAAAAATCCCTAATTCATGTAACAAATTCTCAAGTCTGTGAAATGACATTTTTGCGGGTAAGAAAGGTCAAATGGACGTCACTGAGAAGTGCTACACTATTGTACTACTTATTCATAGATACCGAACAGTGATTTTCTTTAGTACATTTTGTTGCATCCGCAAATCCTTAAAAAATAATAATAGTGGAAACTTTATTTGTGTTTTTGAATGTACAATAATTATTGTAAATCTCGCTACGTATAGGCAATTTACAAATACTGCTTGAGATCGAATTATTAAAAAGAAAGAAAAGAAAAGAAAATCAAAATTGCATTAAGTCTGGGCTATCCCAATTCCTATTTCTACAACAGAAGGTGTGGTATGTTGCTCTAATGACTATGTTTATCACTTTCTTGATTATATAAAGTTCCTGCTTTTTGTCAAAGCCAGTGTCATTCATCATGTCTAAGAACGTGGAGCATTCGTCGGAGAAAACGCCAAGGGAGCTCTTAGAGATATTTACAAATTTCACACATCTGTAATTTCTACTCATTAGTATGGGTAATAGCATGATTTGTGGTGATATTTGGCACAAATACCACGAGTGATATTTCAAAATTGTTATACGAAATTTCACGAGCCGTTAGGCGAGTGAAATTTGAGAAGGTTTTGAAATATCACTAGTGGTATTTATGCCAAATGTCACGTACAAATCATGCTATTATTTTTTTATACTACTACCCGCAAAGGTTTTGTAATTTTCACATGTAGGTATTTCAAATTAAGCTGAAGTACCACTGCTCTTAGCCAATCAAATTGAAGAAATTTCTCATGTAGTAGTATTATAATAATAATAATAATAGTAATAATGATAATAATAAATTTTAAATCTACTATAGCGCCTTTTAACATGCATGTATAAATGATCGAAAGTGCTTTACGGTCATACTAATTAAAATTTATAAAATAAATCTATGATATCGACTGTGAAAGATGACACCGATTAACAGTAAAAATGCCGATAAAAATTCATAAACAAAATAAAATGCGAATAAAATCAAGTTAAAACTACTTAAAAGCTAATCTATAAAGATATGTTTTAATCCAATGATAAGTTTTAATGTAAAAAGATATGTTTTAATTTAATGTTTTATTCTAAAACTAATCTAAAAAGATATCCTTAAACGATACTTTGATTATGAGATTCTTCAAATTCTTCCTCAGCCTCTTAAATTTTCACAGCCCCTTACTAAAGGTTAATTAATGAAACCTTTATTACCGAATAAAGTCGTATTCACAACTTCAGTTCAAAGGATAAAAGAGCTACTTTATTGGAGCAGTTTATGCACTTTTCAGCTCTTTGCAATCAATTACAGAGGAAATATCAGGAATCAAAAACTGCGAAATTGCTGGGGGCAAAGAGCTCATACATTTTTTGAAAGTTTTCTCAAAACTTATTCGGTATATCGAGCTCAGATTAATGATAAGGATATGTTAATGATGCACAAAATGTAAAAAAGGATTCGCCTATTAATGATATTATACTAGCTAGGTGCCGTAAGGTTTTGGAAGTGCAACTTACCTTTAGTCTGCTCATGGTAAGATTTGCTTTGCTGCCGTGGGGGTGTATAACGCTTAGGTAGCGTTCTATGGCAATGGCAAGAAGAGTTAATACTGAAGAAAAAGCCCCGACCCACGCAAAGATTCCCTTTGTCAGTACTATGCACAACACCTTGCCAGTCACTCCCCCTGGGTGACTGTTAGTGTGTCTTAACACAATGCCTGGTAAACTAAATGTTGTATAGATGATATCCGCCACTGCAAGGTTCACCAGTAGATAATTTATGGGATTTCTGTGAAATTAAATGATGAAATAAAGCAACGTATTGTAACAGGCGACATTATAATTTCCAAATTTTAGTGATATTTGAAACTATACTTGTAACTCGAAAATTATAGCTTATCTTTAACTACTCTGAATTCGAGGTTAAATATGGTATATATGTATGTACGTATGTATTGCATACCATGTCATACTTCAAGAATTATTCTTTACCGACAAACGGCGAAAAGAAATTACAGATTTATCAAAACTTGAATACAGTGATGTAATTACGTTACTGTCAAACTCAGAAAACCGTGAACCGTGATGTTGATTGTGTACTGGCCAATCACAATAAAGTTCAGGATACGCAAGCAAACCTCAAAACCAGAAATTAATTACCATTGCTGTTTGCGGTTTAGTTATCTCGCGCCTTATTGGCTTATTTCTTGCACCACAATAACATTCCATAAATATTTCTGGTGTTCATGGTTTTGTGAGTTCCACAGTAAGTGCCTTTTCTCAATAATCAATTCACCATTTCTACTGAGGCCATAATGCACCTTGTTTACACCCCTCCACAAAAAAAAAAATTGCATAATCATTGTCTTCGATTTCTCTCGGGACGACTATAATGCCCAGGGAAAATTGGAAATAATGGTTGCGTAATTTTTTTTTTCGGGGGTGGGGGACAAGGTGCATCGGTGAAAACGGTCATTTGAATTTATTATCAATTGGAAAAAATGGTCAGGTAAAATTTTGGGGGTAAACAAGGTGCCTTATGGTCTCGTTAAAAATTGTCAATTGGACTCATTAATGGCATTGATGGTAAATTCTGCAAGATATGTTGTATAGTAAAAAAATGATTTTGGCATCAAGTGGTTGAAGGGAGTATGTGGTATCATTGCTGAATAGTTATCTACCTCATGTCTCGATTCTTCTTAATAACGGCGCAAACAAGAGAGTTTCCTACGATACTTGTGATGATAAGCACTGACGTTACAACTGTCACAGCAATTTCAGCTGATTCCGACATAACTATGTCAGGGTTGGTCACGATAACTGAAATTATATGTAAAAAAAAACCGTGAGTAATAATTTAGCTAAGGTCCTTCCCAGAACCCTTTGCATCAAAAAAACGTTCAGTGGCAGCTCCCCTACTAGAGGTTGTACGTGAGTAGGGTCGTTCGATCGGACGTACGTTGCCGTGACTATAAAGTGACTTTTAAACGGAAAAAAGGCTCTTCGTGCTCTATACCAGGGGATAGGTTCCACACGGAGCTTCGTATCAAGACAAAGATGATAATGAAGAAGCAAAATGTGCAGAATCTGTCTATTTTTCTTTTCCTCTTCTTTTATCTGATATTTTGCTATTTACTAAGTATCTATTGGCAGCTTTTTTTTAAATTACCCTTTTGTTACGTAGTTTGAAAAAAAGTAAAACAAAAAATTTGCAAATATATAACTAACCGATACTTAACAAAAACAAGCAAACAAACAAGCAATTGAAGAAGACAAATTTATTGACATTAAGGACCTCGCTTTGCCCAAAGAAGCGTAATATTTGTCTTTAAAAGACTTTAGTGAGTCTTAGGGGCACCGCAATAAAGATTTGTTTAAGAGGCTATCATTAATGAATAGCTGCTTTGAACGCGAAAGGAATATTGCAGTCGCCAGATATAAAAAAAAAAAACAACAAATATCCGCAGTCTTAATAACTCTTCGCAAATACTATCTACAAAGAAAGAAGCAGACGGCTGATGAGCCTCTTATATTTTACGCACATAGCCATTTTTCTGTTTTTCTGTGGGCAATGTAAGATGAAAGGCGTGCTAAGCATAAGACAGGGAGACCACTGGTGATTTTCCGATCTCCAGGAGCAAGCTGTTGCAAGGTACCGCTCCAGAGGAACAGCAACCCAGAAGTTACTCTGTATTATTTAATGGATGAGGATGGGTATGATCTGAACAGATGGAGGAAGCCTTAACCCTGGGCTTCTAACACCCTCTAAAATCTGCATAATTTTTCAGATCTTTTATAAAATATTTCTTACTTTAAAAACATGCCTACCTCGATCGATGTTAAGTTTTTCTTACTATGTTTTCTAACATCTTTTAGTTTCTGCACGTTTGTATTGTTTTCAACGCTCCTGTCATAATTTTTACACATTTTTATTCCATTTTTCGCTCTTTATATAAACATATTTGCTATTATTACTCTCCTACTCAACTTAATAATGACCAAAGCAAGGTTGAAACGTTGTTGTAAATTTTAACCGTTTATTTTTTACCTTAAGAGCGACTGTCTGTAAATATCGACCAAAATCGACTTTTTGTGGCACAAGTTCCAAATTCGAATTTCCCTCATTTTTGGCTCATCGATAACCCTTAATGAGTAATGAAACATGCTGTAGTTAATTTTCCCAAGTAACGTATTCTTTTGTTAAAATTCGAGAAAACTCATTTTGCCCGTTCGGAGCTAAAAATCCACTTCCGGTAAAGCGAAATTTTACACAAATTCCATTGACTTGTACGTCGAACCACAACGATTTGGCAGCCTTTGTAGAACACGAATAGTTTTTATGACCCTTTCTTTCTTATAAGACGATAAATTTATGAAAGCTGTAATAAGTTTGTGGCCAAAAAGGTATTGTTAAAAATAGGCCCTATTGACAATTTCTACCGTTCAAAATTATAGGGTTAAAATAATGTAAATTTTTACAATGCGTTATAACTTAGAATTTCGCAAATCGACTTTCTACGGCTTAACTAGGCCCCAATATATCAGAAAATCGAAACAAATCTCTGGGCAAACGATTTTAACTAGCCCGCAAGACGCCGAGTTCAACCCTAATTTTGCGAAAAATCGTGACATCCCAGTGGTTAAAAATAGCGTGACACGGCCCGTCACGCCAGCGGTGTTCTTTCAACATTCTATTCAACGCTGATCACATGCCAAATTCCAGCATACAATCTATATTACATCTTTCAGTACACTTATCTTATTTAGAAGAGTCATTTTGTTTGGACACAATATATAGTGTAGAACTGCCCAAAAGTCGGCTTTTTTGAGCGACGTCGGCAAGAGTTGACGACCGGAGCCCAACGAAAACAAACTTTAAACAAGTACAGTGGTGTGTTTTATTAATTTAAGCATGCGTCAAAAGGCATAAATACGTTAAATTTAAGACGGGGATAACCAATATTAACTAATTAGAACTCTTTTTTTTTCTTGCGAGTTTTCTCTGCCATTAATTATGTATAAGTATAAATGTACGTTTCGATGTATTACTATCACGTTTATAACGTTACATTGTAACGAACGTTTCAGAAAACATTTTAACTCGTTTCGATCGACGATGAAACACCATCATCAAAAATAAATCACCAGAAACTTTCCTCTACAGCAAAACGGAAAATAGAAAAAAAGTGTCGTTTTACTAATGCTAAAGCAGGAATAGTTGAAGCGTGATCATGAGCTTTTAAAAATGGCAAATGCTCCTAAATGGACATCTATAGATCCCTTGCATCGCCATTGGAAAAAAAACTCTCTGGCCCACTATGAACTAGCCTATTCCGGGCGTAGTGGACAGTGGACAGTGGATAGTGGACAGTGGACAGTGGCGCGAAATGGGGAACGGAAGAAAACAAACGTGGAAGAGAGTAAGAGGGAGAGAGTAGGAGGACCTTTCGCCATCTCTCCCTAACCCCGCCCCTTCGCCATTTTTTCTAGCCCACTTTTCTTTGCGTTTTCCCAACTACCTGAAGGCCTCTTACAGGTTAACTACGTCCTTCATTTACAAATTTTTATGGTATATACCGTTTTTATTCGATTAACCGCCCTGGGCGCTTATTAAATTTTTGGACCATGAGAGTGGGCGCTTATTCGAGGTGGGTACTTATTCGAGGCCCGGCGCTTATTAAATTTTCGCCATTCTCAGCAAGTGTAGTATATTAGTTTTGCAACAAAACAATAAATGGTAATAACAAAAAGCGGAGATGTAACAAAGCAAGGTTTCTGTAAAATGCTCTGAAGAAAACTCCGTCTTCGGGAGGGTCTCTTTATTACTTATTATCTCTTATTTGAGTTTGTGTGGGAGGGAGTGGGGTGGGGAGGGTGGGCGTATTAACTTTGCTGCCTTTAGGATGGGCGCTTATTCAGGGTGGGCGCCAATTCGAGGTTGGGCGCTTATTCGAATAAATACGGTATTCAACTTGAGCGTCGAGCACTTTTGGCGCTTTGTTATTGATCAGCGGGAACGGATTTGATAGTACTAACTTTTCCACTGCTTTTAGACTGCGAAACTTTTTTTTCTTTCTTGTTTTCTTTCTTTTATTTTTTCTTTGTCATTTTCTATTGTATTTTTTAGACTTATTTTTCGATTCTCTCCCCAGTCTCACTCATCTCTCCCCTCCCCCGCCGTGCCCCCTCTGCTCCAGACAAGAGGGAACGACCATTTTGTTTTGATCCAGACCATTACCTCGACTATTCCGCCTTTTTGGCTTACGCAAAAAGTACGGGCTGCTTTGTGGCCTGAAAGACTTTGCACTGATTGACGTTTTAGTGTCATGGAAACTCTAGCTGTAATACTGAACAGCAGATGACAGGTTAAAAACGACTGAAAGTTCCTTTCAACAGCGTTTGGAAAGAGAACATCGTCTTTTCCGCAAAAAAAACAAAACAAAACAAAAAACAAAACAATAACAATAGGGAAACAAAATAGAGTATAATACTAAACTTAAGAAGAACCTTGTAACGAACGAATGGGAACACCTAAAAAGGAAAGACAGACTTGAGGACTTTCCTCATCCTCCGTAACCTTAGTCCATGAAACTTAGACGCCCAAGCAGGCCTCCAAAACCTTACCTTTGTCTTTGTCACAAACCGAATACTAGAAGACTGAAAGCCTTAGTCCGCTTTACGTAAGTACCGTGTAGATCTCCAGAAGAATTGTTTGCAGCCGGCCCTCAAAACCCCAAGAGACTTCGCCTGCTGCTGGTCAACGTATAGGAAGGCTATTCCAAAGAACTGCTCCAAAAAACTATTTTTCTTAACATTTGTCTGGGGTAGAGGAATAGCGAGTTTTCTGTTGATGTCTCTTAATAACTAATTAGAGATATTGGAACGCTCTGCCATTGCTACGATCTATTATGCACTTAACAAGGCCCCTCAAAGTACTTAAGATATATGACGCATAGTCTGCGATACACCCGCCTCTCACTGCTCTTTGACGAAACGTCCCTTGCGGCAGATAGCGATGAGAGGAAGCTTTATCGCAGGCTCTTGGCATCAAGGCTTTTCTACTATTTACATTGGTAAACCGGTCGCTTCACGGTTTGGGCAAATGGTGAGGAGAATTCAGGACTGATTAATTTTGATTCCGTTCGGTAATCGCGTTTACCATTTTCCTAAGTCAGTTTCGTTTAATGAAAAACGGCCGCGAAAGCCTGAAACTAATATTCAAAAAAGGTTTGAAGACATGAAATACGAACTTCAGACTGGAAGTTTCCAACCAGGAAAAAAGGCGATTCCCTTTTCAGACGTTCGTTTGTTTCAGGAATTTTCCACTGAAACGTCGAAAGCAATCCGAAACTGAGTTTATGGTAAGCCTGGCAAAGCACCAAAGAGTCCTCTTAGTTTTTTTAATGGGTCATAGTCAAGCAGTAGCCTCATGATTCACACACGTTGTCATACAAGTATATGCTCCTCTTGGGCCATCCACGTAGCTTTTTTTCAGTTTTGAAAGCCCGCAAGGGTAAAAACTTCGAAAAGAACTATTGCACCAATACTTAGTCTAAAATATTTTTATTCTTTAAAATTGCGTCAAGGAAATTAGTTTTTATAAACCAAATGGCATTGATTGGCGATGATTTAATTCGCAAATATCTCTCAATGCAAAAATTCATTCAGTAATCAGTTTTAGTTTTTAGATTTTGTTCTGTTTATATACCATTTTTTGAGGGAAATCGCCAGTCTGAAACTGAACATGAAAGTATGTGACGCTATCCCAGGGACCCTAAATGTTGTATCTGAAGA